GTGGCAGGAGAGGTTTACAACTTCGATGTGAATCGAGACAACAGGATGCTGTATCAGGAGAAGCCGCTGAAAAACGTTCCTGGCAGATATAGTGTTCGAAGGAAGGGCTCCACCTGTGTGTCTGTGCAGGTCTGAACCTTCACCTGCTTAACTTCTACCTCTATGCTTGTCCTAGTTCCTTGTCATGTTTGGATTTGTACTCCCAGGTTGCATGTTTCTACAACATCCCGACACCAATTAAAGCTTCCAGAACACTTAGCATTGAAGTGAAGGTGGCAAGAGACTGCAAAGTGCGTGGAGCAGATCTCATGTTGAACATCACTGTGAAGTAAGAACCGCTTTAACTTTTACCTGCTTGACCCTTAAAGCATCTTTACAAAGCTGAGCTAAGGCTGCTCTGTGCCTGCTCAATTCTGTGACTATTCCACATGAAAGCTAATCCATATCATGTAGTTCTGACCCACCTCAGCCCATAATATCAAAGAATAGTTGGAATTTCTGCATAAATGCCATTATGCCACCTCTGAGCAGCATTAAGCCATTTTTGTAGATGCACCTAATTCAGAAGTGCTTGGCTTGTTTATTATTTTTTTTTTTTAATCTCACCTTCATTTAGGTACAATGGCGCAAAACCAACTACCAACATGGTTATCGTTAACGTTAAACTCCTGTCAGGTTTCACAGCAGATACCTCACTGGTTCGTATGTTAAGATGAATTGTATGTAAAGTCCTAAGATGCCTGAAGCTGCTTCATGTTAATGGACATTTCCCCTCAGCTTGGATCTCCACTGGATACATTTGCTCCATTAGTGCAGCGGGTTGATACTGGAGATGACCATGTGCTTGTGTATCTGAAAGAGGTGAGATGTGCACTGGATATGTTTTCTATTTGCCCCCTTCATGTGTGCTGCATATGTACTTCTCTTCATCCCTTCTGTCTCGCAGGTTCCCAAGGGCGTCCCCCAGACTACAACTGAAACAGGTTCTTGCAGTGCAGAATCTCAAGCCAGCGGTCGTTGAGGTTTATGACTACTATCAGCCAAGTATGTGCTCAGTGACTCGTGTTTTTGGCTGAATTCCCTGGTGCTCATGCGTGTCAAGCTGACTTCCTGTTCCTTTCACTTTCAGGTGATGTGTTTGAGACCACATACATGCCTCCCTGTCCATGATTGTGCTTCATTTCTGGCTATAGGATGCACGAATTAAATGAAATAAAACTCCTCTTAAAAATCAGTCATTGCTTGCCTCTGTTGCACATCTGACATGCGTTTGAAGCTGGACATCTCAAACTTGCACGGTTCATGGCATGATTTTAATGAAATTAAAATACTGAATCAAAATACTATAGATGCTAAAATGGCACTGCAGCTGTGATTGGTTCGTTCAGTCTGTAAGAATCCACCTGCCAGCCCAGAAGAGCAGAATCCAGCGGCCTGGTC